CAGGAATGCAGGAAGCCCATTTCCACACTAACACTCTAGATTTGTTGTTGTCACTTTACAGTGACAGAAGTGCTGGCTGCAGCTGGTGGGGGACACAACCCTCCACCCCGCTCCTTCCCCTTTCTCGGCTCCGGCACCAGACACATGCTGAGCCAGGCCAGGCAGCTTTGGCAAAACAGCGCTTCGAGCCGCTAGTTTTCAGCTGGCTTCGGTCCCCAGGCAGCTCACCGCACGGCGCAGCACATGGCTGCCCGGGCAGCAGCGCTGGCACAAGGCAGGACAGAGGGACACAAAGGCAGAGGAAGGCCAGGCTCTTCCAAAGCCAGCCCCTACTCGAGACCTGCCCAAAACAACTGCGAAACTGCAATCCAGGTGCTTCAAGGTTAAAAGATGCAGCTTGACAGATGCCAGACTGCACCAAGCTCTAGAAAAGCCTCAGCTTTTTAGTACTAAGCTTCCAAGAAAGAAAGCGCTACACATTTCTGCAGTGTCTTTGGTACTCTATTTCAGGCTTTCTCTGCTTGTGATACTCCCCATTCACACATTTGCAGTTTTATGCAGCATCAAATAAGCTCCCAGACAGCTGCATTTTAACATAACCCTCTAAATTGGTCGACAGTTAATAGTGACAAGCAGAGAAGCTGTGCTCTGTTGCTTCAGCTGGGGGACAGGGAGACCCCTCCCTCCCCACCAAGCTTCCAACTCTGAGTAGTTGCCAGGGAATGCCCGCCTTATTAATCAGCACTAAAAATTAAATCTGAACATAAAATGCACCACCTGCATGTAATAAGACCTACATTCACACTCAAGTTTGCCTGAAATGATACTCAACTTTACAAGCATGTGAAAATAAACATTGCCAACTTTTCAATAAGTGACATATCTGAAACTGCTCCACACATCTTACTTCTGCTTTCAAAGATATTTTTTTTTTCTCCTTTCTTTTTTAAAGGGGCTTCATCATAACAAAAGCGTGCTTTTATGAAATGCTAGCTTCACTTTTAAGTGCTATCATTTTCAATCTAATGATTATTTGCACTCCACAAGATGATTCTGCTTTGAATTCAAATAAATTATATGAAGTTACCATTAAATGCAGCTAAATCAAGCTTTAAAGTTAGCAAAACCAGCCCCTGCACATTATAGCTCAATTTCATATTACAGCTTTTCACTAGGATGAGTTCAAAGATTTAATCTCATTAGCCTGATAGCATTTCCTTCTGTTAATTTTACACTCATTCACCTACAAGCCACCAAGGCAAAATGCACATTTTGCGCAGTGTATTTTACAGGTTTATGGATTTTTGCCAGCAAATCTCTAGAAGACAGTGTACAAATAAGTTAGGGACCAAACACAAGTATATATACCATCAGCCATCCTCCCATTTTTAAGACAGCGAGTGCTTTGGTCACCAGACACATGTTTTGCGAGGAGGCCCCGCTAGGCGCAGTCAGATCAGTGCCAGGAATTCGGTGAACCTGGGGTCATGCTGTCAGGGCTCCAGAGAAATGCAGCGATTAAAGCATCTGAGCAGAATTCAGTCAGGGAACTAAATGACTGCCATTACAATACCAGGGCATCTGTCTCTCTGCAGATCTGTTTCGCTGCATTTCCGTTCTCACGAAGAACACAAAAATACATTCTTACCTAGTTCTCCTCGAAGGTTAACTAGTTCTTGAGACAACTCTTTATGCTGTTTCAGTGCTTCCTCCCTCTGCAAAGAAAAAAACCAAACAAACCCAAACATTTGGTTACTAGTGATCTGAGCAGGGCACCTTCCAATAATTAGCTTGCATGTGTTCTGTAGGAAAACAAGAGGCAGGAGCAAGACGCCAAGATATGAATCATTTAGGATAACAGTTCTGCTGTTACAAAATACACAGATGTTCTTCTGTTGTTAAGGAAGTTATACTTTAAAACAAAGAATAGCTTTTTCCAGGATAACACTGCAATTAAAATCCGACTTTGCAGCAATTAATTATATATTTTATGATGGGTGTAGCAACATAAGCCTCCAGAACAAATCAACTAATAGCTGTCAGGGGCACAAAAGTACAGTATATATGTGAAAGAGGCATGCATTAAATATTTACCTTAAGCTTAAACACAGAACCAAAAACTTTGCTAAACGCTCAGTCTTCCATGAAGGAAAGGCACAGCCCTGTTCAAAGTTGAATACAACCCACACCACTGCTTGCAGTTCTTAAAATTAAGATAGATGATGTTTCTTATGATGAGAGAATCGGAACAAATCTGTGCCTAAAACAAGCAGAAGCACCCATCTCCCTGCTTTGCCTAGGAGGTGCGCCTCAGCCAGGGGAAGGCAGCCGGCCAGGCCCCTCCGCCCCCAGACCCGCACCCTGGGGAGAAGCGCGGGTACCACGGCTCAGCGGCAGGTGCCTCGCGCCCATGGCCGTGCTGCAGAGGTGACGAAGTCCAGGCTTCCCGCTGCCAGGGTGCTTTCACCTTGCTGACAGCTGACCTCCTGTCCAGCTCCCTGCCATCGGAAAAGCGCTGCGAAACAAATCCTGATTACCCTTGCTGCAGCACACTGAGAATAGAGGCACAGTTTGCTGCTAGAGCAGCCCATCTTCCAGCTCCGGCAGCCCCCCGCGCGGCCCCCCGGCACTCATAGGCGATGCGCAGGTGGTGGCACCACCAGCCAGGCTGGTCTGGCCGTGGCCGAGCAGCAACGCTGGACCTTGCCTCCGCAGGTTATCTTACTTCCGCGCCGAACGCTCCCGACAGCGGCAGATACTGCAGCTTCTGCAATTGGCACAAGCAGCCAGCGATTACTTAAAGCCACAGCCCTTCTTTTATGAAAGGCGAGCTCCAGACATTAGACCCATCGATCGCCGCTCGCTCAAACGGCAGCCGGGATCGCGACGGGAACGCTGCCCTTCTCTGTGGATAACGGAGCTTATTTTTAGCTGTTTTGAGCTCGCTATACACTGCTTTCACACTTAATTTGTTGATGCAAAAATAAGCCACGGGAGGCCTGAGCTGAACAGGAGAGCCACAGATACAGCAGCTTTGCTGCTGTCGATACCCAGGCTTACGTTCACAGCCCCTGCTCACGCAAAGAGCTTGAAACTCATTTTGCATGCTTTTCCTTCAGCTAGGATACGTTAGAGACAAAAACAGTAATAATGCACTGCCCCAAAAATCACTTAGACTTTTTCCATTAGCTACTACACAACTGATCACGGTAGATGAGTGTGCACACTGGCAGGGCCACACCTGCACCTGGTTTTCCCCAGGGGAAAACTCACCTTTACAGCAGGTTCCCCATTTGCCCCGGTCACTCTCGCCACAGCCTGACCCCAGCCTAACATCAGCACTCACTCACCAGGTCGCCCCGTTAAGAGCACAATGTCCTGGAGGTGGGGAATACTCACTGCATGCCTGCAGAACAAATAAAGCAGTAAAATACACCGTTCTTAAGAATAAAATGAAGGGAATGAGCACCCAGAAACCAGCCATGTATTAAGGTCTGACACAAAACTAAGCAAAATGAGTAATTTTTATGCTATGCACCCTCATCTGCTGCAAGGTATAGGAAGTTATTCTGCAGCTGAAAAGGCTGGTTAGAAGAATGGGCCAGCCCTTTACAAGAAATATTTTTATTTTTGACCTTGTATGGAAAAGATCCCCTTTTAATCACTACAGTTTAAGCAGTCTTAACAGTTATTTGGACACTGACACACTGCTAGGGGTATTAAGTAGCTGCGTTGCAGTTTTACATTAAGCACTTAGAAGCTTTTTTACAGTGACAGTGGGAGAAGATTGAAAACCACGCCTTGCCCTCCGCAGTGAATTCTCAGGGGAGCAGAGCGCTCAGTTATTGAAAGGACTCGCCCTGCTCTTCCCTGCTTCCCTGCTCAGGAAGGAGAGATGAGTCATCTCGCTCCTGTTCAACACCAGTTCCCACTACGGACACAGCATCCAATGATGAAAACCTGAATGCGGCAGTGAGGGTATCTGAGCCACATCCTAGCACGCTGGGACACAACCACGTAGTGGATTTGCAAGCAAGTCAACTATCAAAGCACTTCTATTTTCATGCTGCAGCCTCCTGATGCGATTTTCCAAAGCTTTTACCATAACCTTGTCCATTACTAAATTAGTGTATAAACACACTTAGAATTTTTTTTTTAAATATGCCCCTCCCCTTGGTTTGCATATTCATTCCTTATTCTAATTCTCAAAAAGTCATCCTTGAACCCGATTTCTTGCAGCCCACTCTTAGTAAAGCGTCTCAAATTTTCCCCCCTCAGCCTAGCGGCTGGACCACACTGCAGACCCTTCGGAAACACTAATGCTTTTGGTTAGTGTTTCCAAAAGGCCGGCTTCATGGTCCACACATTCTGTATTTGTTTTTAGTTAAAGCAATTTGATGAGAAAAGGGCATATGAGATCAGGATATACTAAGGACTGACAGAGGCTGAGACTAAAAACCCAAAATAAGGTAGAATAATGCTGCCTTACTAATTTTTTTAAAATGTTTCTTGCTTTCTGCTGCTCTTAAGTCTTTTTACTTTTTACTGGTGCTTTTTAACCTTGTGCCTCAGGCTCCAGCTTCTCTGTTCATAGTTTTGCAAATCAAGAAATCCAGATAGACTTGTATCATCACCACCTGTTAAAGAACATATTCAGAAACAGCTAGCCATAGAGACTGCCAGCCTAAAAGAGTAAGTTGCTCATATGGTTAAGCAGCCACATGAAGTAGTCAGACTGACTAGCAGTTAATTTAGCACTCTCCCCTACGTTCTGAGAGAACTGAAGCTCTAAGTACAGACGTCTTCCCAAGAAAACATGAAAGTTTCCAAGACCTGAAACTTAAGTGCAGTGAAATACCAATGACCACTTGAATAATCCAGTAAGGGCCATCTTCAGTATTTAATTTAAGGACAGGTATGCACATGCTTTGGGCTGGAATATTGAGCAATCTTTAGTTTATGCTTTACAAGATTCTAGTTGAAACATCAATACCAGAAATTGAAAGAGCAGAACTGAGTGGGAGCATACAGGATCAAGCAATTTTGGCATTGTTCATTTGTTCAGATAAGCCTGGCCATAGGGATCATCCTTGCTTAGTTGTCAGAGACTCAAAGGGGGTATTCATACCAATTTAAAGCTGTTTCTAGCACAATTTATGAGTTCATGCTAAGATCATACAGGATGACTGGGTACCTGTTTTTCTTATGTCAAAAGAATCTATTGTAGGTACACAAGAAATCCAGTAGAGCTTTAGCTAAAACATTGTCCCCACCATAAAAATGGAAGCTGTAGGAAGGAACAAGAACAGAGTTTGGGGCTTTGCCACAGGCAGTATCAGGGTGGCAGACCTCTGCTATTGGATGCTACAAAAAGAATTCTCAGCATAAAGGAGGAGACTTGGACATTTCTTGTTCTGTGAAAGATCAGGCAGTTAAAAATCCTTCACATGTTTTGAAAGTTTGACAAGTAAGTTCAGGGGCATGTGTGCTCCACAGCAAGGACTTGGGAAGGTGAGGTATGCCCCACTATAACTGGATGGAAAAAGAAGAGGTCAACATAGGGGAGGTCCAAGGTTGGAGAACATGACAGTCTCAAGATAACAAAAATGACCAAGTCAGGAATGGAATAAATGACAAAATTTCTCATTCATGTTTGTGTTATGGCAGTTACGCAGCCCAGTTACACACTTAAGAGTATTTTTCCTGGCAATCAGCTATTTTGGCTACAGCTTGAGATTCAAACAGGCCAGCCTAGCGTCATTTTAGATATAAACAAGGGTGAAGTGCATCAACATCTGAAGAGTTTCCATTGCTCCGCTTTAAAAGGAGGAAGCTCTACAAAAGTCCACACCCCAGAACGAACAAAAAATGTATTTATACCAACCCCGCAAGCAGCGTACCTATACCAAATCTTCACTTGAGAAAGACATGAGATACCTCCAAGAGCTCAGCTTATAAGCAGTTGTCAGGCTGGAATGGATGGGTATTCCTCAAGCATCCCACAGCTCCTTTGCAGACCGCAAATCCAGGAGCATGCAGTTTTATGGCAAACTGGCAACTCTTGTTTCCTAGAGAGGATATGCAACTAGCCAGACTAACCATTTCAGGTTTCCCAGCACAGTCCTGCTGCTGGCCAGGTGAGGTGGCCCTGGTGTGGGAGCCCCATGCTCTGCCTGCAAGCCAAGGCTTTGAGAGCCACGGATACGCTGTGCCTGGCCAAACAGCCCTACTCACCTTTTGCAAGTTTTTCCTCCATGTTAAGAGCTGCAAGTCCTTCAACAGCTACTCAATTGTAAAAGACCAAACCATGGCAGAAAACAGGTTTTGAGTATGCATGTCCAAATAAGCTAACACCGCCCACCTGGTAGTAATTATCCACACATAACTGTTCACATTTTAAACTACCACACTCCTTCTGGAAACAAAACGTGTACCCTTTTGGAGCTGATCTTAAGAGAAAAGAATTCACAAGAACCAGTACTGAAAAGTTCACATTTATATACCAAAGTATTGGGGGGTTGGTTTGGTTTTTTTTTCTTTATTTCAAGCAGCTATGTCATTCCAATAGCTGTGTGATAAGCTACTTAACCACAGTTGCCTAGTCTACCCCATGCAACATATTGCGTCCTCTAGGAGCTCTGTGGCAATTCAAACTTCTTAGCAAGCTTCTGTCATTTAACAAAACCCTCTCACTCAATTTTTCATCCTCAGATTAATGTTTCCAGATCTTCCTCAAAATTGTACTCATGTGAAGCCTTATATATCTTCTATCCATTAACAGGTTCTGAAAAAGCATTATGCACTGCCCAAACCAAAAACTACAAAGCACTAGGTACACTGCAAAGGAACAGATACAACCCACTTCTAGGTCCTGAAATATCCCATGGAATCAGGTCATGTCATGGGACTTTTCCCATGACACAAACATATAGCAACCATACTGGAACATTCCCCTCTTAATGCTGGGATGCGACGTGGTCCCTGCCCAGAGAATCATAGAATCGTTTAGGTTGGAAAAGACCTTTA